CAGGAATTTGTAACAACTTACCGTTTATTTAATTATAATTGCGTATTTGACGCACGTGGGAGTGATTAAAAAAAATCGAAGAGTAACACTAAATTATGAATAGAAATTCAAAGAAAAGTAATTATAAGGCAAACTGGGAAAGAAAAAGCACCACAGCTAATTTGTTTAAGTTTAATCGATTAGTTTTACTGTTTAAATCTCATTGTAACCAATTCAATTACTGTTACAGCAGCCAGCGATGTTCTTCTCAAATCCTATTAGAAAAATAGCCACGATCTAAAAGTAATTTTTACAAGTCCATTGTTTAGATTACATGATATAATTATATTCATTCCGTTCACCTCTAATCGTTAGTAGGTAATGTTCATTTAGCTTGCACAATGGGATACAAAGCGAAGTTGTGCAAGATATTTCCTTTGTTTTATGACATAACTCTTACTTCATTGGGATATATTCGAAGGTTTCCCTGGTTTCTAGAGTTTTGAGAATGTTTCAATAAGCAACATGACGCGTGCCATCTCTAATAAAAATTGCATAGACAAATATATAGAATAGGCCTGGCTTGTCTTTAAACAAGAGGACGGACTTTCTTGATCGTGTTACATTTTGGATAACCGGCATTTCTCGTTGCGGATATTTCCTTTGCAATTATAAAATACCAAAATGCGATATAAATAATATGCGTGATTGTTGATATAGTTACTTGACTGGAACAGTATATTGAAAGACAAGTGTTACAATGCGACCGATTGTAATACGACAGGCGATTGATTCGAAAAAGACGTTCCAAGTTAATCGGTGATCGCTAACGTAGCGGTGATCCATGTAAAATGCGAGAGATGTTCCTTCCCCTTTCGACCGTATTAGGCGGTGGATGCTAAGCGACGATTCATGCGAAAAAGGCGTTACAAGTTAATCAGTAGTCGATACGGACCAATTGGTATATGAAACATGCAGAAAGTGCCCGGGTTTTCCCTCTCGGTGATCGATACAGAGAAATCAATTTTTGCCACATGCAACATTCTTCTTCCCTAATGCATTCAATTTTAGACTATATACGCTTCAAAAAGTGGTGGTATTAAAATGTACCATGGAAATGTCGCTTATTTGGTGTTTAAGTCGAAGAAAACCTAAAATTGTATTGTATATTATACCTGTTGTACTACTTTTATTACATTCTGTTAATATACACGTTAAATCCAGCATATTTCATTTTAGTAGACGAAGAAGTTAACATACAACTTCCTACAAAAATTTGCTGCCACCTTTGTTTATAAGTGGAAAAAGAAAGCTGTGACGTAAAATTTTTCAGTTTCGTCAACTTAAGAATGACAAAATATACGTAAAATAACACCAGATTTCCAGATAATAAAGTGAAATTTTAATTAAGATTGTGGAAAATTTAGGCCCTCTTCCGCAAATTTTTATTTTTATTCTAAACGTGTTATTAAAGTGTTATTAAGGTGTCCTCTATCCATTTCTATCAATTTCATGATCATACCTGGGGGGGCTTATTAGCGTCACGTACCCGAAAACTGGATTTGGAATGTATTAAGTTCTTGGTGTATGTGTACCAAAAATCAGATGAATACCTACACATAAATTTTACGCAATCTGATTTGACATCTAATAATTTGAGTTGACGAACTGCCAACCTATAAATGAAAAGTTACCAAAAACATTCCAAAAACAATGTTACAATGGAAGTCTGTTTGCCGAAAACAGTTGTACAAAAAACCCATTGTAACACCGAAATAGAAAAAATTACATTACAGTTTACAAGGAAAGTGGTTATTTCACAGGCAGGATCACAATCTCTAAAAAAAGGGAGGCGTGATTCAGAAGGAAAACATTAGGAGAAAAAGGACTGCAATAAGAATTGTTCAGCACAGTGAAATAGATCCGAACAAAACCGAAAACTACAACTCAGGAGTCTATGTTCTTGCGTCAAGGAGTTTTTACAGACAAGTTTTCTATAGTGTTTTCGCTATAAAAAGCGTTAATAATACACGACCTTGCCAAATATTTCTAAGGTATGCTGATAGTTTATGCGATACAACACATCAGTGAGACGTTTGTCAAGTAATACATTGGGGTAATATAACATCTAAACAGTCAAATAGATTGTGAATTAAGTCTGCAGTACCCTTATAGTATCTGTTTCGGAAGTTATGAATAGTTGTACAGGTCACCAGCAAATAAATATCAAGTTAATGCTTGCTTGCAATTTTGACCGATGAACTGATTTTACGTTATTTTACAAAAGCATATGACCAACTCTTGCTGTAGTGGAATTTAAGAATAGCGAAGTTCAACCAAGACAAAAACATAAGACATTTTATTTACCTACGTCAAATGATAACTAACATAAGCTGGTATGATGGTAATAAAGTAAAAGATACTTTTCCGACTATCTTGCTTACGTAACTTTCAATTTTGTAGAAAATAAGTTTTAATGCACAGTTCCCGGAGTTTTATTTACTGTGAAGTTAATCATCATCACTACAACTATGTCGTAAAAATTGATTCGTTTTCGGGCAATGTGCGGTAACTCCATCAGAGAGTTACAGGGAAATATGGAAAAACCGTACGGAGAAGACGAGACAGAATGACAGGGCACGTGCTCAGACACGGAGGATTAGTACAGCTAGCTATAGAAGGTAGGGCAGAGTGCAAGAGAGGGGTAGGACGACAGAGGCTTGGAAGGGACGTAGGCAAGGGTAGTTATGTAGAAGTGAAAAGATTAGCGCAGAATAGGAAAGGTTGGAGGACTGCATCCAACCAATCGTAGGATTGTGGACTCCAAGAAGAAGTTACTATGTGAGTATTAGTATACTCCAAAAATAATTGGAGCCCAATAAACAGAACTTATGCGTATCATGTATTTGTTGTTGAGAAATGGCTAAAAATCCTGCTAAAAATTAACTAAAATTTTAAAGACACTAGGCCCTTCCTGTCGTTCTACTGAGTAAAGCAAGTTGAGGAAGTGAGGGGAAGTTTCAGAAATTAGTAACCTTATCATATACTAACACCTCACCAAAAATCAGCTATTAATTAATTTTTTCTATTCTTCAACTTAAAGTGCCTAGGCTATTATTAATATTTGACACTGCTATATCACTATTAGGCGTGCAATCACAACAAAATGTTAATTTACAGCCTAAGTATATTGAGTAGTTCTAAAAATAAACTAAAACTAAAAGTAGCGGCTCGTCTACTTTTATTTTAGATTGCCCACATAATTGTAAATCATGATTTTTCCTAAACAAGTAATTTATTTCACACATCAACAGGTAAAGAAAAGCACTTTCGTAGGAGATTGATTTATACCGTATTTACTTTAAACAAAAAGTCTTATTTAATTTCGAGGATGCTGCAAGTCGAGTCTATAAATCTCTTTTGCTTCACTTAAGGCTTTGCGCGTTCGTTTTTAAACTTTTATAGCGGACACGTTAGGACCGTGCTAAACATAAAATTCGAAATTACATTAACAAATTTCTATAGCGGCGTGACCTTTAAACAACAATGGATTAATTTTAAAGAAGCACTACGAACGTTATTTTGTAATTTCGGACGGGCCACGAATTCTTCGGCCATACGTTTAAAATAGCATTGTTATTTAAACAAAGCGTCTGCGTTCAAACGAAGATACCTACACATTCACTCAAAGTGAACTAGTTATTAACTTGCAGACACTCCTGTATTCCTTAAACGTACAACTTGAAATTATTAGCTGCACTGGAAAATAACTGTACTTCGTGATTTTCCTTGGAATTCATAAATCGCGCAGGTGAGCTTTGAACGCGCGTCTTAATGTAATTAAAATTAGCAATCAAGTTTAATTAAGAGAAATAGTTTCTGTCTTTTCAAATACTCCCCGTGGGCACATATTTTACACAATTGGGGGTGTGGTACCCTAAATTTAATTCAATTGTGGGCAACTGCAACCAGAAAAAGGGCAGTCGGGGATTGTAAGAGATTTTAGGTCAAAAAGAATTTGGCCATTGTTGTCCGACCATGAGAATAAAATAGTGGCTTTGCCTTTGTAATAGATAGTTAAGGGCGCGTTTCGCACCTAATGTTGTGAAGCTTATGTCATATTGTCGTGCTGAGAAACATACCCCACTGTGAATAACATTTAGGATCAAATGTAGGGATTGTTACCCTAAAATACATTTGATTAACGATTGTAATCAAAGACAGAACCGAATTATGCCACGGTGACTTTATAATTTTTCATGACTATTACTTCTATATCTCAGATTAGATTAAACTAATTCTGCTCGTCAGTGTGCAGCATAACAAAGAAACATTATTACGATAATCTGGTTACCGTTATACAAAAAAATCTATGTCATACTATTATGTTGAAATCGCTGCAGGAAGGATACAGTTTTAATGTAAATTCGGTATGTTGTATGCAATACGTTCAAAACAAAGAAAGAAAAATTGACCCCATTGCTTTAGTGTCTAATCTAATTGGACCTATATAATTAAAGCGCACGAAACCATTAACTTTTTCTCCATACATACTAGATCATTTCGCGCGCTATGCGCGCTCACTTGAATCGCAAAACAAAATAATTAGAATAGTTCCGAAGGTATACAACACATTTGATCAATTAAGGGGACGTTAATATGTAGATAAATACCTTTAAAGAACTTTTATTTTTATAATAGTAATATGAGCCATAGCATGGTCCAAGTCCAAAAATTCTGTTTTGAGATAAATTGACCTAAAGTTGTATTAAAAAATCTTGAACAGCAATATGCACCTTTTTTTTGATAATTGTACTTGTGAAAGTCTAAAATCAAAAGTAGTTTGATTTTTCAAAGTTGTTACCTTTTTGCCGTTTATTGTGAATTACATCATTAAGATTTTCAAAACTTGTTAATATACGGTTTGGAATATACCCCAATCTGGATTGTTTGCTTTGTAACAATAAGAAAAAAATGTTATTATTATACTTTTAAAAAATGTTACAATGAAATACAATAAAATTTAAAACATTTGTCAAAATTTATTAGCAAAAATGAAATAGATAACATTCAAATTTAGGTTGAAAAATAAAAATATATTCTGAAACAATAAGAAAACTGACTGTGCATATTCATCTTCAAATTCTTCAAGATCGCAATCTGACTTAATTTTGGAATTCGTTTTCAAAGTCAAAAGATCCCTAAAAAATGAGTGTTGAAATATGATAATTTTGTAACTGTAACTTTTGTACCTGTGAAAGACTTGTATTAAAGGCACCATCATTCAAATTCATTCGAGGTGATTTTTCTACTATTTCTTCACCGTTGTCGTTAGCATCTTGCAGTGGCCTTTTTCGCGGTGTGTGGATTCCACCACGCAATGTTTCTTTGGAGAGAACTTTGTCGTCAATAACCGTAATGTCATTATTATCCGCAACTTGTAGATATATCGAATCATCTGCAATAATTTTGTAATGAATTCTCTTTTCAATATTAAGTTAAAGTTTTACATCTATCTTTTTTTATTTCCCCAATCAATCTTATATGGGCCCCTTCAACTAAGGCCGGATTTTGATGGAAGTGACTTATGCGGACCCTTAGTTTGTATATGCCTTCCATGATGGCACCACTGCCATATGAGCTGTGGCTTGTGGTTTCTGGTTCAAAAGTCACTTTAATATACGCATCTAGACCTAGGAAAGACAAAAATCTTTTAATCAGAACACAATATTGTTGAAGTTCACTTTTCATATTGAATTGAAATATTTTGTGCTTAACATACCTACATATTTTTGTCTCTAATTTTCATAAATAAGCCAAACTGGTATATTGTTCAAAATTAATATTTTATTGTAGCTACATGCCACAATTTACAATCAGATTTTGCTCTTAGAAGTATTCAAACAATTTAAAAAAAAGTACAATTTTAAACATTTAAATTGCATTCCTGCAAAATACAGTTTAATAAAATAAATCATCTTCATCTTACGAATAGGGTTGAGGCGAATACCTATTATAACAGTTGTGAGTTTTACTTACTCAATTTCCCTTCAATAGAAGCACAATCTTTGATTGTGGTTGAGACAACTTTACACATTTCACGTGCTTCTGTTGCATATTTTCCTAAGAAGTCAACTTTTGAATTCTTAGTCAATGAAATCTCAAACGGAATCAAGTTTTCCTCTTTACGGAAGTAGTTTGGATTGACCCGAAGAAAGAGTCCACGTTGGATGTGTATAATCTAAAAATGATTTGTAATTTAAACACTAAATTCTGGAAAAATTGATTAAAAAATATTGAAATTCAATAATGAACATAATCACCTAGGTTTGTCTCTCATTCCCATAATATAGCATGAAGCACACATACCTACTATCACAACCCACTTGATCAGGTAGGTAATTGAACACAATGGGTAAAGAAGAGCAATCAATTGCCCAGTAAAATGAGGGTTTCCAGACAAACAAGCATTGTTATACGTAAAAGGAAACAGTAGAAATAACATTTAGTAAAGATAGCGAGCACCAATTTTGATTTATTGAATTTGTCAATTTTAATTTGTAACTTTGACTGTCTGGTAAAGTAAAATGTGCTTTCGTATTTGGATTTTTATTGAAAACTGCAAATTATTTAAGAGAAGAGCAAGCTGTGGGTTTTGTATAGTACAGCACCTACCTTTATTGACAAAGACCTCGAAATTTTGTTTTAGTCCATACCCGAGTCCATACCTACCTAACTAATTTTATGAAAATTACACATAAAAGTTGTATTAGTCTTCTGCAATAGTTCATAGTGCCATCTAGTACGTGTGCATAAAGGACACTCAAAAAGATGCCATATTTGATTCAGATTTGGGGCATCAACAATCAAAAATGCGATTATATATAGGCGTTCTTACTGATAATGTTATTTCTACTGTGAACAGGTGATCAAAAATTAAACTGCGGTAGGCTGGTTATTTGTTCTATCTCAACATTTCATATAAATTATAATTCGACAATATCACTTCCACAGCGCATTTCAAACAAGATAGTTGCTTATCATTTGTATGCATATAATTTATAAATTTACCTGGTGGATCGAAAGTTTATTTTCATAACTTTTCGCATTCTCTTCCCACGCTAAGACTCTTATTCTTCTGCCAGTGCCATTGTTTATAATAAACTTCAAAAGAGCTTTATTTTTGCTCACATATTTTATTCCCTCAATGGAATCCACATAGGCTATTATTTCCCTGTAAAATTCAATAGGTAAAAGATATTCTGTATGTCGTCTATGTACGTTGTACTTACATTGTATTATCACCCACATCTACTGCGTCAATCTCCTCATTTGTTGTCATGGGGATGGCTGTTGACTCAGCCATTTTCCTGAGTCTCGTTTTCTGAAATTTATTAATACATAGATAGTGTTAAATATTATTTGAAAAAAATTGTAGTTTAACATTTGTTTCAAGTTTTAATAACATCTTGTATAAATTTGTAAGTAGGTGCTACCTAGTCGATGAAGATTCAAATTCATTTTTGTACCTTTTATATCAAAAGTTATCTAATCATATTTTTCAATTCATATACAGGGTGGTGACTTGCGTAACGCATCATAGGGATTTCAATGTAAAATTCATAACATGCGATAATTGGCTCCCCAAATTATTTTAGAGCAAAACTGTATTAAGGTTTTTGTAGAAAATTTTTTTTTACGTCAATCAATCGTATTACTTTTCAATTTTTTGAATAATAAAGACGGAAAATTGGAAAATAAAACCCCCATCTTTTTCAATAATCTGTGATACCATGGAATTGTATAATACAAAAACTACGCCAATATCCGTCATGCCATGGAATGTCTGCTATAAAACAAATCAAATTCTATCAAAAAGTTTAGAAGTTTAGATTAGAACAGCGAATTCAGCATAAAGAAAGACCAAGTTACTAAAAACGGTTCCCTAATATAACAATTTACAATAAATGTTCGAATAAGTCACCATTAACACCAAGACTGTAACCAATAATAATAATAATAATAATAATAATAATAATAACAATATAATAATATATTTATTTTATTTTTTATTTTTCTTTAGAACCCTACATAACTTCACCAGACACAGACACTAATCGTTACTTGATTTTAATCCGTGCGATTAGTTAACCAGGCTAGACCTGAGTTCTCACAAGAAACACCAACCATAATAATATTTATTGAAAAAGATGCGGGTTTTATTTTTCCAATTTTCCGTCTATATATGAAAAAAATTGAAAACTAATACGGTTGATTGGCGCAAAAAATGTTTTTCTACAAAAATCTTTAATACATTTTTTCTCTAAAATAATTTGGGGAACCAATAATCGCATGTTATGAATTTTACATTGAAATCCCTATGATGCGTTACGCCAGTCACCACCCTGTATATTTTTCTTAGTTTTCTTTATGTCTACAAATTGCTTACAATTATTTTTTCATATTTACTTTAGCTCTCAATAGAATTTTTCATTCATCATTCCTACAAATTGCAATGCAATTTTTATTTATATAATTCTTTAAAAACATAATTTTTAACCACATTACTTTTTCGCTGACTTCCTAAATAAATCTTTAAACTTTCCCAAGACCGAACTCTAGAGAGAGCAACATATAATTGACCATGAGTAAATACATCTTTTCTAAGATCAATCCCTATTTGATCAAATGTTTGACCTTGTGATTTGTTTATAGTCATAGCAAAGGCTATCTTAATAGGAAATTGTCTTCTTTTAAAAGTAAAGGGGTACACATTTTCACAATATAATGTTATACGATGTATAAAAACAATATCTCCAGATTTATCTCCTGTGAATATCTTACACTTTATGACATTGTCTCCCAACTCTAAAACTGATAGCCTCGTGCCATTACATAATCCTTCGTTGACGTTGAGATTCCTTATCAGCATCACAATACAATTTTTCCTTAATTTTAGTTCGTGAGGAGAAAAATTAGGTGGGTTTAACGTATTTAAATATTCAGGTAAAATTCCTTCGTTAATATCTCCATTATCACAACCTTCAACACTATCCATGCTTGTATATATTTTTTCATTACTTACATCTAGTAATTCCACGACTTTATTATTAATTTCTTCTACATCAACATTTCTTGCTGAAAGAATAGCTGATTTAGTTAGATCTGCAAATCGTTTTTCTCTGATCATTGTACCAAATGTATTTTCAACGATATCAAAATTATAAATACATTTTGGTGGCAATTCCAAGTTACAATCTTTATCATTTAAATACCCATCCCCAACATCAAGTAAAAATTTAGAAAATTCTTGTTCATTGGGTAGAGCTCGCATATTTTCTGTTAGGGAAAATTGACGGAAATATTGCCAAAGGGGACTACATTTAATACTTAAGTTCACAATTTCAGAGCGAGTAGCATTTACTTTGACGGGTAATAGCTGTCTAAAATCCCCTCCTAACACCATTATTTTCCCACCAAAAGGCACATTGCAGTCAGTAATATCTCTCAAAGTTCTATCTATTACATCTAATGCGTACCTTGGTGCTACCGGAGCTTCGTCCCATATAAAAACATCAACATCCTTGAGATATTCTGCTTGCTTTGAATTATTCTTGATGCTTGTAGTTGAATCACAAAATAAAGGAACAGGTAAACCAAATGTCTTATGTACTGTTCTGCCTTTAGGGAGCAAAGTTGCTGCTATGCCTGTGTACGCCATTGTGCAAATATTTTTATTCTTTTTCTTCAGTAAACTGTACAGAGTTGTATAAACGTATGTTTTACCAGAGCCTCCTGGACCATCAATATAAAAACATGGAGGTTCAGAAACAATTGATTCATTTATGTCATCATCACATTGATCCAAAATAATATCAACAATTTGTTTCTGCTTTTCATTCAGATGTTCATATTGTCGTGATGCTGCTTCTATTGCTTGTTCATCATTTGAAACATCATCTGCATATTCAGTGTCATTTACTTGTTGCATGGAAGGATACATTGAAATGTTATAACCCTCTGCAGAAAGCATGGAACTAATTTGAATGTAGGCTTTTTGTTGTCCTTCAATACTGCCGTAACGTCTTTCATAGTCTTGTGACATTGCTTCTTTAAATTCTTCCCATAACTCTTCCGGATGAACTGGTTGGCAGTGCATTAAAATACGAGCAAATAAACATCTTAACTGTTTTGGCATCATCCAAATTTCAGCCTCATTCATAGCCCTTTTCCATTCATGATCATCTTCAATAAGTCCCAATATTACGCATGTTGTTACGTAAGAATCTTGTACCTCTCGATTTATTGTTTTAAGATCTTCAAAGCTCTTAGCTCCTTTCCTATGTAGTAATAATAATCGTAAATGGAATAGTTCAACTTGACTGGGGCTTACAGAGTACATGCGTCCAATAACACTGAATTGTTTCTGACGTCGTTGCCAATTATATTCACCAGTAACATCTTTTTTAAATACATAATGACTTGGTATGTCTCCATATAAATGCTGTGAAGCTTGAGAATCTCGCGCATTCAACGCAAAATAATCAATCAGCATTGTTTGTTTCTCTAAAGCATTTCTTATTTCATTTTCATCACAATCATCTCTGACTACAACATTCTGTTGATTTGGTAAATGCACTGGTAATCTTGTAATTGAATGACTTTTCCCTTGTAAAGGTATACCTATAATTCTCCAAGCAGCTTCCACTGGTCCAACATACCTCGTTTCGATGAAATCACGAATTTCATCGTGATCAATAATTCCATTGTTTGTTTCGCCAATAGTTATTCCTGCAGCATCGTGACCTTTGTATATGTATTTATATAAATATTTAACAGATTTTACACTGGACACCACTTCAACATTAATGTGAGCATTGAATAATTTTAACAAAGTTGAATTATATGGCACAACATACTGATTATTAAATATATATCCGTCAAAGCGTTTGAAAGAAAGTCCAGTATTTCTACGACGATAACTGGGATAACCGTATTCGTCTAAAGTTGTCCGTTCATTAAAATGCTTTGGAAAATGTTTAGAACAGGCGTTCTGCTCTGTTAAACACCAATTTCCACATGGACCGTGTATCATATTTCTTGAAACAATATCGTATAATATTGGTTGTTCTTCAGGTTTTGGGATTTCCGCAGTTATATATCGATCAACTACTTCGGGAGTTGTTATTTTTTCAGATTGCTTTAAGCTTACTAACATGTGCATATGTGGTAACCCGCGTTTTTGAAACTCAATCACATAAACATACGCTTGTACAGCTCCAAAAAAACCTTTATTTACAATTAAATCTATTAAGGTTTTGTGTTTTATATTGAATACTCTTGCCACTACATCAGGTCTATCAGCAGCAGTTTGTCCATCCATCAAATTCTCTCTGATCTCTTTCCACTTGGGGTTACAAGTCATTGTAATGAAAAGATCTGGTTTGCCATATTTACGTACAATTGCCATGGCATCTTGATAATTTTGCAACATATTTCGAGGAGATCCTTGAAATGTTGATGGTAAAATTACCATTTTTCCAATACTTTGGTGATTACGTTGAGATCTCTTTTCTAAATGATCTATCAAACCTTGGTAAGATTCCGCCCGTAATTTCTTTTGATTGTCTTTACAAAACTGTATTCTATCTTTTTCAATTTTCACATAACTATCAACTAACCATTGCTGAAATAATCGACGTCCCATTAAGAATGGATTAAATTCATCACGAACTGCCATTCTATATTTCGTATACATAGCTCGACTGACTCGTCTATTTTTCTTAGTACAAGATATTGCCGAATGCCAGCCGCGAGTACCATATGGATAAAACAAAGGATAAATCCATGGCTCCACATTAGCATCCATAGTACTAACATATTGTAAAGATTTATCACTTTTATTTCTTACTGTTACATAGGACTCTGGAATATCACCATCAGCTGTTGTGGAAAAAACTGCAGCGACTTCATTAACCCTTTGGAAATTGTAACGATTCTTATCCATACCAGGCTTCAATGTAAATAAAAGATGTAATTCAGATTCGTCATTTACAATATTGCAATTTGACCTCTGATTTTCCAGCTCCTCAGCCATCATTTGGTATGACTGAGCGTACACATTATGTTCACGCATAACATTCTCAATTAATTTCACAATTTCTGAATCACACTTTGAATTACAACTTAAACGAAATTCTACTGCCTCATCACTGTCAACAATAAAAAGCTGACCATAACTTGGGGCCTCATTAGAAGATGGGTAAAGTGCTGTATTTATCTGATAATATATTTGTCCCTGTATTTTAAAACAAAATGGACCTTTACGTGTCGAATTGAAATGCACAAGATTAGCATTAAATGATGCAAATGCAAATGAGCTGTTATAGCTTCGAATGTGTTCAAAAAAATTTTTGGACTTTAGATGAGAACCGTTGAATAATGATTGTAAAATTGTAGGAAATACAGGTAAAGGTTGTAATAATACTTCACCGTGATTACAACATTCATTGAATGAATTACCTTTATTAGCAACTCTTTCAGAGGGAAAATGTTTTGCACTACAATGCATACAGGTAACAGACAT